ACAAAAAAAAAAGTCCATGAGCAGCATGAACAGCAAGGGCTAACTATGAAAAATAATTTAATAGGTTTGTTGGAGGAGAGATCCCTCACAGACAACACCAAGGGTTTAAATATCATGACAGAGATGGAAGATGCCATTTGCAGAATGAAGGGAGGCAAGTGCAGAAGAGCCACTGTGGGGAGTTGGAAAGACATACAGAGTTGAGTCTGAGTATGACAAAGTCCAAGTAAGAGCAAATGCTCCACTTGAAAATGTCTGGAATCACAGGGCAAAGCTCAACACAAAGACAGAGGTAGAAGATATTTCCACATCATCTTATCTTCATCTATCTTCTTGGGGTTTTTTTTTCCCTGAATAGTAAAGGAAGAGTTTTCTCCTCTGTCACCTAAGCCAAGCTCTTATATTTACTAGAAAACCTATTCTTACCTCACCTTTTCAGGTGTCTAACTCAACAATCAAGCTCCCATCTTCAGTTTTTCCTGTCCATGGGTTTTATCCCCCCACCTACAAACCTGCTCTAACTCTGACAAAAAACAAACAAAACAAAACAAAAACTGCTTATGGATAGCACACAACTTCTTTTTCCTTTCACTGATAAACTCTGTAAGTAACTGCTTCCTACCCACCACCCCAAATCCCTATTCTGAATCCCTGTTCTGATATCGTGCTCCCGAGAGCTCCCAGTGGCCTTCTTTCTATCACATCCAGTGACAGACACCCACTGCTCTCCTGTTCACGCTGTCTACAGCCTGTCATCACATCCAAACCCACGTCAACTCCCTGGAGCCCCCAGGATCAAGTCCCCTTTGTTGCCACTTCCTAAATAAGGGTTTCTCCCCCAATGTCTAACCAGAGCCCTTCCTCATTTTCCTCCACCCACTCCAAGAGCCAAATCATCACAAAGCTAGGCTGTACCCAGTCCCAGTGCAGAAGGCATCTAAGTCTACATTGCCAACCCTAACCTCCTGCCTATGCTCCTATCTTGAGTACCACATTTCCCACAAAACAGCTCCACCTCGATATCCCCCAATCACCCCAATTATCCATATCTGGAACTAACATCACTACCTTCAAAAAGGACTCTTCTCTTCAACCAGATTACATCAGTAGGGACAGCCAGGCCTCTGTACTATCAACCAAGCTACTTCTGTTTCCTCATGGGCTTAATTTTCTTCTCCCCTTCTAACTAGTTCATCAACAAATCTCCACATTTCTGCCTTTGAAAATGTCTCCCAGTGTGGTCCCTGACTGCCCATCCTTTCTGCCACCAACCCAGACCAAGAACCCTCCCTCTCAGGTCTGGATCACTTTTGCATCTCCCTGATTTTTCCACTCTCTTCTCTGCTTCATCAGTCATATTACCTCCAGATTAACCTTTCCAAAAACCACTTGCTTCACCATATACCCTTGCTCGAAAACTTAAAATGACTCTCTACTAACTCTGAATCAAATCCAAACTCTTCTCTTGGGCTTCCAAGGCTCTCCCTGTCCGGCCTTGCCCTACTTACCCAATTCTGTTTCCCATTCCTCCCCGAACTACACCTTCCATTTGGTCATTCTGAATCCTCAGTGTTAATGCCCCAGCCTCCCTGTGCCTTTGCTCACCCTGCTCTTCCCACTGCCCATCCACATTCCCCCTCAAGGGTGACTCTCAGTTCCACTCTGCTGTATTTCTGTCAACTTTTTGTTTTATAGCACCAAAATGTTCAGCAATTAATTAATCTCTGAGAAGTAACTGTCTTTAAAAAGTTCAGTAAGGGAAGAGACCACTTTGAATATTTCATTTGTATTCCACAGCATCTTAGATAGCAGAGCGCTTCTGGTAGAAGTTGAAAAGTCCTTGTTGGTTTTCTGTTCCACGTGGTTCCTAGTCCCAGTTCTGAGTCCCCATATTTCCCCTTCTCTGCCTCATAGCCATCATCAATAAAACTACTAAGATATACTTTCCCACTCTTGGAATAGAGAATTACCAGGAAGATGATATGGAGCCCACCAATCTATAAGAATAGTGGGCTTGGGGTTGGGGGCAGTTGTCTGTGTGTGTCCACACACAGGGAGGGAAGATTTAAGAAATCTAGCTTAATCAGTTGGTCAGGAGAAGTGAAATACCAGAATAATCAGAAGATGACAAGTAAGGACAGAATCATTCCAAACATGCCTAATTAGAGGCATAGTATGCCGTGGTTTTGACAAAGCAATTGCCAGTCTGGTCTTTGTGCATGCAAAATTTTCCGCCAAAAAGAAAAGGGTAGCTCTGGCACTAGGGACTCTGAGAATTTGTTTGAAGGTTTCTCAATTGTTCAGTTGAATAAATTCATAAAGTCCAGACTGCTGGGTATAGTGCTATGTTCCATAGACAGGAATCAGAAGGAAGAAACTTAAGAAATATGGCGTATTCCAGAAAGTTAAGAAATATGGCCTTAAGAATCCCCAGCAAGAGCCCAGGCTAGAGAATGGAAGGGGGTAAGATCAGGAAGGAGAGCACAGAGGGCGACACAGGACCAAAGGCAGCCTGCACTCCCTTTTGGAACGTGTTACAGGGTCATAAGCCAGTTCCAGCCATATGCATTGAGGGTTTCTTTTCACATTTCTCTGATTAGAAATGCACATCAGACTTAGCCTCCCTTCAACCAAACTGCCCAAGGAAGACCAGCCCTAACAAGAGTCCCGCAGGAGTCTGCTATTTACTCTGTGATTTGAGCCAGAGCTAGAACTCAATGTAAGCCCCAAGTTGGATCTTGAAAAGTCGTAGGAAAAGCAACATACTGGACCATTATAGGCCATTAACACCATTAATGCTATGTGAATTCATTTGTGAGAAATTAGCAAGCATCCAGAAACTGAGCTCTCCTCCAACGATCTGGGACAGAGAACGGACAGGAACTAGTGTTTGGATGGTAGGAAAGAGGAAGGAGTGGGAAGGAAGGAAGGGAGGGAGGGAGGGAGGGAGGGAGGGAGGGAGGAAGGAAGGAAGGAAGGAAGGAAGGAAGGAAGGAAGGAAGGAAGGAAGGAAGGAAGGAAGGAAAGGGAGGGAGGGAGGGAGGGAAGGGAAGGAGGGAGGGAAGGGAAGGAAGGAAAGGAAAGGAAAGGAAAGGAAAGGAAAGGAAAGGAAAGGAAAGGAAAGGAAAGGAAAGGAAAGGAAAGGAAAGGAAGGAAAGGAAAGGAAAGGAAAGGAAAGGAAAGGAAAGGAAAGGAAAGGAAAGGAAAGGAAAGGAAAGGAAAGGAAAGGAAAGGAAAGGAAAGGAAAGGAAAGGAAAGGAAAGGAAAGGAAAGGAAAGGAAAGGAAAGGAAAGGAAAGAATCTAGAAAGAAAAAGTGGGGAGTCTCCCCCTTCCAGAGTTTCCCCCAGAGCTAAGAAAAGGCACACTTTTGCCCCACATGGAAGGCAAGAAGGGTCAAGAAGACCCCCTGGTGAATGTTTCCAGGCATCACTTAGCTCTCAGAAATTTGACCCTAGATGACAGGCTATAAACTCAGGTCAAGTCTGAGATGCTGGCTCCCCACATGCACTTGAGAATCCATGCCTTGGGTCCTACGCCAAGTGTGTGTGTGTGTGTGTGTGTGTGTGTGAGAGAGAGAGAGAGAGAGAGAGAGAGAGAGAGAGAGAGAGAGGGAATATGAATGTGACCTCTGGGGAAAAGGAATGAGGAAGGAAGGCAAGGCTGGGGCCTGAGGAGCTGGATAGGATAACAGGGGCTCCCTCTGCTTTCTCCAGGTGCTGGCATCAGCCTGTACTAAGCATTTTCCTTTCCAGACCCACTAGAAAATGAACATATGGGCCAATCAAATCTTGACTTCCAAAGCCACAAGTCTCCCCAACAAAGCACTCCACCCCCTTCCCTAGAGATGACCTCCAGGGCAAAGCAATGAGTTTAGGAAACAGATGGACGTGCAGAAAGCCTTCAGAGCTAACCTGATCTGGCCCCACCAGTCAGCGTTCTCTAATATAACTTAGCCAAGGAGAGGGCAGAAACGCGGGGTCTCCTAACTTAGTGGACTCCTTGGGACAAAGATCCCAGACAAAATGGTTCCAGACATGGGAGATGCGGAGCTCTACCTACCGAGTTGGTGGAAGCCACAGGTAAAAAGGGAGATGGGGAATCCCTTGGCCATCAGAGAAACAGGGCCACAGGTGGTGGGAGATGAAGGTGGTGGGTGTCCGTTCTGGGGAAAGGGCTCTGTGGTCAGGGAGCGAGAGAAGCTATAGAGCTGGGGGATGGGAGGTGGTGAGGCTGCAAACAGCTGGAAAGACAAATCTGGGGGCTTTACAAACCACAGGCAAGCAAAGACTCAGTGGGTGTGTATGAGGGGGACGCTAACTCACACTTCCAGGAATAAGTGATTCTTATGAAAATCTCATCCGTTCCCAGAACTGGAGAAGAGGACAAGGAGGACGCCTGAGGCGCCCACCGCCCTCCCGGCACGGTCTGCCTCTCAAGTCTAAGACGCAGGCTCCCCACACACACCCCGCTTGAGCGTCCTGGGTCCGCCCCGCTTATGACTGTCAGTCTGCAGCCTGCGTGACTCTGGGTCCCCAAGGCCTTTTTCTTTGCACATCAGGGCCCCGGGACCCTGGGCCGAGAAGGGGTGCCAGCCTGGGGCGGCCAGAGACGGGCTGACAGGCGCGGGGAGAAGGGTGTGGAGGGAGTGGACGGGGACGCCGGTAGCCGGATCCACGCGCCGCAAAGTGATCCAACATCGCCCCATCCCCGCGCTCGGGGAGAAGGCGGCCGAGGGAACCGCCTCCCGCCTCCCCACTACAGACTCCCGCAAGTGAGGTGAACCCCGAGGGGCGCCGAGCTCCCAGCCCCCACCCATCCCCGAAACGCGACCAGCATTGCCATAACAACAAGAATCTCCGCAACTCCAGCCGGACGGCGAGGGGGAGGGCTCCCCAACAGGCACACCCCAGCAACAGTCCCGCTTCCCCAAACTTGTCCGAGACGCCGCGTCCCAAGGCAGCGGCCCTGCCCCCGGCTGCCCGCACCGTGCCCAGTCTACCTGTGCGGAAAAAGGCGTCCACGTCCGAATCGGCCGCTCCTGCTTCCTCCGCTGCCCCCTCTAGGGGGTTCATGACTGGGGGAGGGCGTCCGCGAGCAGCCCGGGGCCGGCGAAGCCTGGGGCCGAGGACTGCTCGGCGCCGGGTGGGCAGAGGGCGCGGGGCGCAGCGGCTGCGGCTGCGGCCGCAGACCCGGCGGACTCCGGGCTTCGAGAGCTGGAGGCTGGGGCGGCAGGCTGGGGCAGAGGACGCCAAGCCTCCCTCAAGCGGAGGCGCGCGGCGGGCTGGGGGCGCCTGTCGCCGGCTCCCCCATGGTACCCCTTCCCCGGGGGCGCTGGCCGCCTGCTGACTGGCCCGGGCCGGGGGCCGGGCTGCCTGGGCGCCCGCTCTTGCCCAACAGCAGCAGCTGGCTCTCCTCCTCACCCGTCCGCCTGTCTCTATTGTTCAGCCTTGCTCCGCTCTCCTCTTTATTTTTCCTCCTCCCTCCCACCCTCCTGTCTCTCTACCTCCTCCCTCCCCGTTCGCTCGCCCGCTCGCTTGCCGTCTCCCTCCCTCCCTCCCTCGCTCTCTAGCTCCCCCTCTGGCTCCCGCCGCCGCCGCCGACTCCCCAGCTCCTCCCCCGGCTCCCGCTCCACAGTCCCGGCCAACAATGACTCGGGCAGCGCCGAGCTCTGCTGAGGCTCCGGCCAGCCAGGGCCCGAGGCTCGCCGCGGACCCCCGGCGGCGCGGTCGCCTCCTCGCCCCGCGGCCCGGCGCCAGCCTCTGGGGCAGCGGAGAGCCGGCCCGGAGCTATTGTTCCGGGCAGTACTAGGCCAGCTTCCTGAGCCCCGCAGGAAAAGCCCCGCGAAGGAGGTGGCCGAGGAGGGGGCGGGGCCGCTGGGCACTAGCCCGGCTCGCCCGGGGCTCTGCCGCCCCAGCAAGGCACGCTTAGCCTTTTCCCTCTTGCTCTCTGTGCTTCGCGCCCCACCCAGCTCCCAGGTGTGAGGGGGAACCCTAAGCGGCTTGTCTTTCTCCTTTTCAGACCGATCCCCAAGCTGGACTGACCTGTCCCTAGGGGCTGGACTCCCCACCCCCCATTCCCCTGCTCCTTGCAGATAAGCTCTCCCTTGTCCTTCTCCTCTTTAGAGCCTCTTGCATTTTCATCACTATCTCCCCGTAGTTCTTTCCTTTTTTTAGTTCTCTTCCTCTGCCCCCTTAAAACACCTCTGCCCATCTCTCTGACTCTTTGTCCACCTCATTCCTCTGGCGGCGTCCCCTTGACTATCTCTCTCTCTCTCCGTTACACTCTTCTGTCTCTCATTTGTCTCTGTCCTGCTTCAGTACTTGGCCCGTTTCTCAGCGCTTCTCTTGGACAGCTGTCAAAACTCCCTAATCCCCGGGGCTTTCTGTTTTATTCGTCTTCCTCGTGTGAATGGAGAGATCCAGTTGGCCAGGAGAAAGGAGGTGTTACGGCAAGCTGAATTTCAATTAAAGTGGGGAGAGGGGCTGGGCAGGAGTGGGGATGACAGGAGAAAAAAAGAAAGCAGATGCTGTATGGGTAATTAATGCAGTGATTGTATTGTGCCAATTGGTTTTAAGCAATAATTAAACAATAATTAGCCAGTATTCTGTTTATAGTTCTAGTGACTGCAGAACCTATAAAACAGAGGCTCTTTAACCTGAGTATTTAATGGGGTGTGTTGGGGGCTGTTGCTGTTGCCTCATCCAGGCAAATGGAATGGCTGTGGCCTGACCTAATGTGTTAAACACACCTAATAGGAAAACCAGGTCCTAGACTAAAGTTGATGGCATGCTACCCAACAGCCAGAATCTTCTGGATCTATTTGTCTCTGGGAAGCTCTCTGAATCAAAGCACCTGGGATCTTTCCAGATCTACCAGCTAAGTAACTCTAACAGCAAACAGAATTAATTAAATAAGTTTTCAGTGAACCCTTTCTGGCTCCTTGTACTCATCACTTTCTTTACTGAATGTCACAATGTTTTTTGTTCCTTTGTTGTACAGTTACCAATCTCCAATCTTGGATGTCTTATCAGACTCCATTCCTTAAATATTATTAATAGTGACTCTGAAGTCACAAGTTAATTGCCATGAGATGGAGATGAATTGCCAGATCTAATTCATCTGGCCCTGATATCTTGAACTGCCTTACGGCAGCCAAATGCCCCCTACTTACCACCTCCTCTGACAATGAAAAATTAAAAACTTTTAATTTGTCCTTTCTAAATTTTCTCCATTTAACCCCATGACAAAATTATCCTGTACTTCCCCTCCCCCACACCCCTCCCCCAGCCCACCCTTGCCACCCCCCAACACACGATGGCCTAGCTGCCATTAACTGCCACCATTATGCAGATGGAGAGCCAGAGGTATGGTAAGAGTATTATCTCATCCCAAAGTGAGAAGAAATATTACATGTTTAGAGGAAGGTTCATATCAAAATCTCAAGAAGTGTGGACCAGAATGGGGGATAACCTTATATAATGACATTGATTTTTGAGTGAAAATTTGGTGATTTCTATTAAAATTTTAAATGTTTTAGCTATATGAATATCAGACAAAGATTTCAGAGCACATAATGTTACCAGGGATAAAGAGGGATATTTCAATTCATTGATTGGACATATCATCCTCAAAGTTTTTGTATTTAATAAGAATTTTAAAATACATGAAGAAAAACTCATAGGACTACGAGGAGAAATAGACCAAGTCACAGTTATACTCAGAGATTTTAATATGTCTCAATACTTGATAGACTGAGGCAAGAGATCATCGGTAAGATACAAAAGACTTTAACAATGGTATCAAAGAACATAACCTAACTGACATTTATAGAATACTATACTCTACAGCAGCAGATACACATTTTTTCAAGTACGCAGGTAACATTTATCAACATAAACCATATGCTAAGCCATAATACAAGTCTCAATAAATTTAAAAGGATTCACACCATGCACACTGGTATGCAAATGATACTTTAGTTGCTTTTTAAAAATCATACAAAGTATGTTCTCTGAGCACAACACAATTAAATTATAAATCAATAACAAATTTCTGGAAAATCCACCCCAAATAATTGAAAACTAAATAACATACTTCTAAATAACCCATGGTCAACTAAGAACTCAAAGGGAATAATGGGAAGAATTTAGACTGAATAAAAGATGAAAAAAATATCATATAAGTATCTGTGGAATATAGCTAAAGCAGCCCTTAGAGAGAAATTTAGATGGCTAAAATATTTTGAAAAGAGAGGTCTCAAATCAAGGATCTTTTGTTCTACCTTAAGAGTAAATGAAACCCAAAGTAGAAAAACAAAACTTTTTAAAGACCAGAGTCCAAAGCGATAAAATAGATAACAGAAAAACAAAAGGGAAAAATCAATGAACCCAAAAGAGGGTTCTTTGTGAAGATCTATAAAATGTATAAACCTCTAACCAGACTGAAATAAGGGAACAATAGAGAAGAATCAAATTGTAACTTACAGGAAGGAGAGAAGCAGCATCACTATAGATTACAGAGATGTAAAAAAATAATAAGGGAATATTATGAATAATTCTATGCCAATAAATTTGACAACTTAGATAAAATGGACAAGTTCCTTGAAAGGCACAAACTACTAAAGCTTACTCAAGAAGAAATAGATCATTTAAATAGTTGAACATTCATTAAAGAAATAAAATTTGTAGTTTAAAAGCTTCCCACAAAGAAAATATGACCCTTATGGTTTCACTGGTGAATTCTGTAAAACATGTAAGGAAAAAATAAGAAATAAAAGCAATCCCACACTCACTAATCCAGAAAAATGGAGAAGAGGGAATTATTTCCCAATTATTTCTATAAGGTTAGTATAACTCAGATGCCAAAATGAAACAAAGACCAATTAATGGGGAGAAAACTACAGACCACTATCTTTTATGAACATAGATGCAAAAATTTTAATAAAGTTTTAGCAAATCAAACCCAACAACATATTACAAGGGTAATACATCATGGCAAAGTGGTTTATCCCAAAGATTCAGAGTTGGTTTGTCATTTGAAAAATCTATGTGATTTGCCATATATTATGAGTTGAATTTTGCACACCTCCCCAAAAAGATATGTGGAAGTCCTAAAACCTGTGAATATGATGTTATTTGGAGATGTAATCAATTTTGGATAAGGTCATTAGGGTGGGCCCTAATCCAATATGACTGTGTCCTTATAAGAATAAAACTTCATATTAACACAGAGACCCAGAGAGAAAACACCATGTGTCAACAAAGGCAGAGACTGGAGGGATGCAGCTGCAAGCCAAAGAATGCCAAGGACTGAGAGCCACCTCCAGAAGCTAGGGAGGAGCAAGGAAGCATTCAACCCGGAGTCTTAGAGGGAGAATGGCTCTGCTAACACCTTGATTTGGACCTCTAGCCTCCAGAACTGTGACAGAATAAATTTCTGTTCTTTTAAATCACCTGTTTGTGATTCTTTGTTATAGCAGGCCTAGAAAATTAATATGTATACTATAAGGAAAAAGAACAACTATATGATCATCTCAGTAGATACAAGAAGTGCATTTTACAAAACACATCATTCATTTCGGATCAAAATTCAGAAAACTAGAAATAAAAGAATCTTCCTCAACTTAATAAAGTTAAAACAAAAACCTTAACTAAAAACCTATAGCTAATATCATGCTTAATGGTGAAAGACTAAATCCTTTCCCTTTAAGATTAGAACAAAGAAAGGATATTTACTCTCACTCCTGTTCAACATTGTACGGATGTCTTAACCAGTACAATAAGGGAAGAAGAAAAAAAGCAAAGGCATTCAAATTGAAGAGGAAGAGGTAAAACTGTCTTTGTTCATAGACAACATAATTATCTGTTTAGAAAATTGCATGAAATCTACCAAAAAGCCACTAGAACTAAGATCTTCAGGCCCTGGCTGGTGTAGCTCAGTGGGTTGAGCATGGGCCTGTGAAGCAAAGGGCCTCTGGTTCGATTCCCAGTCAAGGCACATGCCTGGGTTGCAGGCCAGGTCCCCAGTAGGGGACACATGAGAGGCAACCACACATTGATGTTTCTCTCCCACTCTTTCTCCTTCCCTTTCCCTCTCCCTAAAAATAAATAAATAAAATATTTTTAAAAATAGATCATGTTTAGCAATATTTCAAGCGATAAAACAAATATAAAAATTCATTGTATTTCTATACACTAGCAATGAAGAGTTGAAAATAGAAATTTTAAAAATAAAACCACAGACTTTAATTGACCACGATCCACAGTTCAAGATGAACACCATAATCATATCAACCTTGTGAGTCTCTGGTGAAACATTTTAAACTAAGAGCTGAGCAAAGTCTTAACATAATTTTGTTGCAAGTTGAAATTTAGTTCATGTTTTTAAGAAAGCTGAAGCCCTGGCTGGTGTAGCTCAGTGGATTGAGCACGGGCCTGCGAAGCAGACAATCTCGGTTCGATTCCCAGT